CCCAGTAGGTATAGTTAGGCGTTGTACATGGCAAGCGGGAAAGGGTGCCATATGTTCATAGAAGTGGAAAAGCGCCTAACCTGAAAAATAGCCCACCCACCCCGCATTAGGTGCATCCCCACTGTGAAGATAACACCAGCCGCGCTTCTAATACGCTCCCGCACACAAACGCATGAGACGTTCTCCGGACTTTAGGTGCGACAGACTGACATCGGGCTCAGATGGATGAGTGATGAGCAAGAATGTGGTTTGATGCTGCGGGAAGTCGAATATAACTGAAGTCACTGCACCAACCTGTTTGGAGCATAACTTGGGCATCAGCAAAATAGATGGCCGAAGCTGTCGCGTCCAAAACCGGTAGTTATTGGTTGCTCACAAACCAGTCTGGTTGCTCGACCGACAAAACTTTATCAAGGGACTCTCAACGGCTACATCAATTGTCTATTGGTCTGCGTCATCCGTACAGCGACAAAAAATCGACCCAACTTAACCAGCATGTTCTTTCGATCTCTTCCGTGGAGAACAAGGAAGCTTGTAAGCGCATATGCCCATCAGCTATGTTTATTGCAAATATAAGCTGCATATCTTACCACTCAGATATTGTTACAGTATAGGTACTACCTTGCTATTATGATAAGCAAATTCTGAAACATGTCGTTCCCCTGGTTAGACAGGGGATGTTCTGTATCTTCTGTAGATGGACCCAGTAGCCATTGTATAGTTAGCCTGAAAATAGTATATGGCAGTACCTTGCGACATGGTGACCACTGAGCTAATCATGCAGACAGATGGTAGCTGGAGCTTTGCGTTTTCTATCGAAGGATACACCCAGTGACAACAAGGAGAGCCATATGGTAGACATAATCAAAATCGGTGTCAAGCCATCATCTGCCTGATAAAAACGTTCTATTATTATCCAAATGATAATTACTATTACCTCACACATATTGGGACTGCATACTGCCTGCGACTTCTTAAAAAGCACACACAAGCAGTATTAAAATCATAATATGTACTGGCCATTGTAAGCATAATTAGTAGAATTTAGCACGTTTAGCATAGACATGTACCTATAGCAGCAGTATGGTTGTCCGAACCTAATAGAAACGTACGCAGCTCGATGGATGGAGTTGAGAGTGCGGAAGCCAAGGCAAGCACTGCTGTTCACTGGACCCCAACCATGTACTTACTCGAAATACTTAAAAACCAGACTCACACTCTTCATTGAGACCAAGGGAATACGAGCCCTAGCGTTGGCTTAATCAGCGTCACCTC